CTTGTGAAGGTAAAAATTTATACAGTGGGCAAACACAATTTATACAGTGAGTAAATACAACCTTAGAAATAAATCAAGCAAGCTGTGAGGGACTGCTCTTCAGACAGAGAAAACCGTTACACTTTCAGCAACAACAGAAACGGACTAGTGCTTCAGAACCTGGTACAACACAGCACTCATCTGCACTCAGTAAGCATTTATGGACCTTTTGGCAATTAAGTCGAACCTCTTTGAGGGCAGTGTTTCTGTTGTGCAGAGGGTCGCTATGAGTCGGTACCGACTCGATGACATCTAACATCAACAAAATATTTATTGGCAATGGAATTGACTTTTCTTAAACTAAAAGTAAACCCATTTCACATCTGTTAAAATTATAATAGGTAAGTAAGGAGTACCCATGTTCATTAGGTAAGGAAGCCTTTGTAGACAAACTAAAACTGTATATATGTACTCACATAGAATTTAGTGGAGTTTTAATTTTTCAATTAGTTAAAACGTAGGGCATTAAGTCACCAGAATCATCTAATTTGCTTCAGTAGATTCTTGAAAACTGTCAGGATATGACTTGGGCAATTTTACTGCCTGAAGATTATCAATGGAAAATGATAATCCTGCAGGATGGCAGGATTTGATGTCAGATATTTTTTGAATGGTACAAATACAAGGGGGAGGTTTGGGGGAAATTCCATTATCTTTTCATTCCATTTTGCAAGCTTGTCTGTACACTCATATGTGATTAACTCTCAACTGAGTAGTTACTGCAAATATAAGCTTTTTAAAAATCCAAGAAAAAAAATTTCATTTATGACATGGTGAAGTAACATTGAATTGAATAAAGTGTATTATTAAAATAAACTTTTATAATTCAAGTGAAATTAAAAATTACATATGGCTGACATTCTATTTGTAGAATTCTATTTCTAGAATGAGCCATGTGTAATTTGGTTCAAGGACCTGACGTTTCACAATGACTGGGATTCAAGCCACCTATTTATTATTGTGGGAGCATTAGGTGGCACCATATGGTAAACATTGGACTGCGAACTACATGTTCCATGGTTCAAGCCTGCCAACCTCTCCATGGGAGAAAGATAAAGACTTTCTGCTCCCTGGAAGAAATCTTGGGAATGTTGCTCTGAATTGGAACCCACTCAACTTTGTATTTATGGTATGCTTAGAGGGAATTTCGTGAGATTACAATTAAAAAGCACAATCTTGGCAGACTTCATTAGAATTCTGTGTTCTATTTGTTCCAGTAATTCTAGCTTTCACAAGTTAAGAGCAGTAGTTTAGACTTAATTTTGCAAGTATTTTCATTTTCAAAGGACAAAATGCCACTTGGTCTCAAGTTAACCAAACAATAATGACCAAATTAATTAAAAAAATTAAATACCTTCCATTTCTTTATGATAAAAGTCTTCTCTAAATCAAGTAGTTGTTGAGTTTTTCAGATATATACCCTGAAGTATATATCTGAAAATATGTATCATTTAAAATCAGAAATTTAAAAATAAATGGTGTTATATGAATGAAATAGCTAAAAACATGAACGTGTGCAATAGTTTTAATTGGCTACTGACTCACATGAATCCAAAGTACCAAATGTTCTAAATTCTACAAAACCACCTTGACATACCTATCCAAGACAGACATCAGATAGTTATTTTGATGGAGAAAACGGAATTTTACTTATTTGAGCAAGATTTTTTGAAAAGTATATGGAGAAATGTCTCTATCAAACACCTATCTCAACTGAGCACTTGAGCAAAATTATGACCTGTGAAAACACAGTAACACTTCTTTCTTCATGTAAACATTTGTTAAACTCTTCAAAATACATCCACATTTACAGAGGTAAATTCTTTTATTCTGAAACCACCAAAAAATGTACTGCCAAAATATCTGAAAAATATTATAAAAAAAAATATTTCAAAATAGAACAGATTTTCCAAAGCAAGTGAATTTACAAATTTTGGAGTGACAATGTTTTTAATACCAGACTTAACGGAACACTGATCTTCCTTTTTTACAATTCTGCAATACTGACTGCCCCCTCAAGGTATCAAAACCATTCAGCATTCAGATTTCCATAACATTCTTTTAGAATAAATATGGTTTTCTTCTGTTGTAGTTCATAACAGAAAAAAAAAGTCTTTGATGATTTAGTAAAAAGTTGCCTAGGTTTGGGCTAATAAATGTTTGATATGGCATAAACAGTCATGTTATTAAGTCCTAGGAACTATTAGACTCCCAATCAAGTAATTAAGTCTCTGAATTCTAATCAAATGTGTTGATTAGGTATAAGTAATAGTATCACCAAATATGAAATTTAATACTAACAGAATTATGGCATTATACTTCTGGGGAAAGATCCTGTAAACATGTTTTTGAGGAGAGATTAGAAAAACTAATAATGAATAATTAATATCGCATTAACATTTCTAAAACCACCAAAAAAAGGAATCATTTTTGATTGCCTGCCTTCCAATAACTTCTGATAGTGGTTATATTAATGTCTGCTACTAACCAAAACATACATAAAAAAAGAAATATTCAGAATCAGTTGTTTTCATAAGCTAAACATTGCTATTTGATGATTTTATGTTTGAGCATATAGTACTGCAGCGTTGGTTACATAAAATACAAAAATCCTGTTGAGAGGAAGCTCAATGAGAGGCTGAATTGTATTTAAGGGCTGAACACTGGCTATATACAGAAGGGAAAGCACTTGGATTAGAAATACTTCATATGCTCCTGAGCTCTCTTTCACTATGGCAACATTCAGTGGCTTACTATTTGACATTTAAAATAATGTTAAATCTTTATCCTTTGGTTCCCAGTGATGAACAACGCAGTAATAACGCCTCTGGTTATCACGCTCTTGGACAACAGAGAAATCTGATGTTCTAGCTGAAATTTGGCAGCCCAAGAAGTGCACCAACTGCTCCAAAGTATCCCTGTGAAATATTTAAATAAGCATTAATATGGTGCCATTTAATAACTACACACAATTATACGTTATTTGTTCAATAATATTTATTGGGAAATTTAATGTTCAAGTAATCTATACTTTAGAAAAGTGTATTCTCTAAATTAATGTACTTTCAAACAAAGCAAAACAGTAATCACAAAAGCCACAGTATCTATATTATTCTCTATGGCTGAAGTAACACACTCCTACTACTGTCAGGGCAGAGTAGAACTGCTTTGAGACTTTAAGTCTTTCTGGAAAGAAATGGTTCAAACCATCAACCTTTAGGTTAGTATCCCAATGCTTAATCCACTGTGCTACCAGGGTATAAAAGTAAACAACTACGAAATGCTCCTCTCAGTGGGGTGCTTATAAAGTTAAAATAACTTCAATTGAGTTAATAGACAACTTGTAGCTTTATATGTGCCAAAAATTAGGTAAGAAGCAATATAACCAACTTTCATATAAAAATAAAACTGTAAAAATTACTCTGAGCATACCTCATGTTCTAGGAACAAAGCTTTCAGTTGACCTTTTGACCAATAATCCAGTGCATATGCTAAAAGTTTCATTGAGAGCGTATTGACACGTAAAAAGTTTCCAACAAAGACAATTCTGTTTATTTTCTAAAAGGAAAGAACAAAGTGACATAAAAAGATAGATCAAGATTTTACATGATAAAAGTTTGTAAATCAACAACTATGTTTCTAGTTGTTAATTTACCATCTGAATCGCTGCTCAGATTCCAGGCTCACTGATGCGGTTTCCTAGAGAACCAACCAGATGAGGGTACTTGTGTCTCAATCTCTAGAAAAATGCTATTCCTCCTATTTTCACAAAGGAATCTGGTGTGGCACTGTTAAGACAAGCACTGGATGGCTAACCACAAAGTTGGCAGTTCAAACTAAGTCACTCCTCAGAAACCCTACACAGTAGGGGTGGGGAACCTTTTTCTGCCAAGGGCCATTTGGATATTTATAACATCATTCACAGGCCATGTAAAATCATCAACTTAAAAATTAGCCTTCTACATTGGTCAAATATTTAATTTACCCTAATGCTATGGATGGAAATATGGTTGCATTGGCAAAGCCAGATCAAATGATTTTGAGACATTCCCCACCTGTCATATGTTGTTAAATGCTGTCGAGTAGGTTCTGACTCATAGCAACCCTGTATAGGGTTTCCAAGGAGTGACTGGTGAGTTTGATCCAGTGACCTTGTGGTTCAAACAGACCTTGTGGTCTAGAGCTTTGTCCCACAACGCCGTGACACCTTCACAATAATATGACTTTTCAGCATAAATTTTTGTACATGATTTGGAATCGTGTAAACCAAGGACCTACTTATCAGTTGGCCAGTGAAAGTGGCTGGCAAGCAGACCTACAGAGCTAAGAATAAAGGCCCAGGGTTACTGTCAACCCCCCAAATAAAATAAAATATATATACACAAATAAAATAAGTTAAAATGTCTACAGCATGGTTTACTATTAAGAAATTCTAGGGGTTCTGCATTGTTACTCTCTTTCCCCAATTATCTGTGTGTGATTCTCTCACCCTCTTTCTATCTGTACCCAAGGGTCATATTCTCAATGAAGTCTTCCTTAACTGTTCTATTTGGCAATTTGTTGTCCTCTGCTTCCTACCTGACCCTTAATTCCTTTATCTTGTTTGATCTGTATACAGTTTTCCTAAGGGGAAGGAAAAAACAAAACACCACCATTCAAATTTCTTGTGAAGAACACATCTCAATGCCTTCATAGCCCTGTACAATGCTGCTTGATCCATATGCAACAAGGCAGCACTGTAAAGAAGCCGAAGGCAGTAAGAAAAGTCCAAGTATTTCAGTAATCAAATAGGGGTAATCAAAGTCTTGTGCTTGGAAAGAGTTCTTTTATAGAGATTTAAGGTTGTGTATTTTTGTTTTCTGGATAAATATAAATGTGTCGGCCTCATATTTTTCTTTAAAGATAATATAGCAATCGGGTATATAGCATACATGGAATTAATGAAACAGAGAGCTTAATCCTAGAGGTCTTCTTAAGGAGTAAGATGTCTGATGAAATATAAAACTCCACAGTACAGAATAAAAAATGTGTTACCTCATTAACAGCACACATCCGTGCCACAGAACCAATGTTATTGGTGATAGTTACTAAAGTTGCTCTTGCCAGATCTTCTTTACTAACAGATTCTCGTTTTTCTTTGTAAATCATATTCCCAAAACTATAGAAAAATGGGAAGCAAAAAGTCAAAATCTGCTATTAACATTTCATACATTAGATAATATAAACCTAGGGTCAAAAGTAAAAGCAAAAAAGGACAAAATCAGAATAAATGAGAAAACCTACAAAATGGAATAAGTAGTACCTTTTAAAAGGTGAACATCACATCTAATTAAAAGGGTATTAGTTTAGTAAGGCAAGAAAAATAGATGTTTTGACATGTGGCACTAACCACGTAAATACTTAAAGCCACATGTAGTAGTTAGAAGCTACTCTATTGGGCAGCACAGGCCTAGGCAAAGAGAAAAATTAGTCAGGAAATGAGAAATTTTAGGCACTGCCAACTGAAGACTACATGCATTCCCTAAAAAGTGCATTCATGGTTGTTGTTGTTAGGTACTGTGGAGTTGGTTCCAACTCATAGTGACTCTGCACAGGGTTTCGGAGCCTGCAGATCTTTACAGGAACAGAAAGCCTCATCTTTCTCCACAGAACAGCTGGTAGTTTTGAACTGCCACCCTTGAGGTTAACAGCCTGATTTGTAACCACTACACTACCAGCACTCAGGGTAGGTGACTTAAAGTATACTTGAGTTTTAGAATACACTGAGTGTTCAAAACTACCTAAATCCTAAACTGTAGGTAAGAAAGTCCTTCTAATATTGCTAAGAACTTAAATGAATTATACAATATAAAACGCTGAACTTACCTAGATGCTACAGCCCAACCTGGGAGACCAAATCTTTCATAATCTCCTCCATAAATATCACGGACCAGCTTATCTGCTTGGGTGCTGTCACCTTTGGATGCCATTTCAATAGCCTCTTCAAAACTTTCACAGCCAGTCAGTAAGCTACATAAACCTACGAAGGTGCCTCCTCCAAGGCTAAAGAAAATAAAGAAACTTGAGAAGCTGCACCTATACACTGTATTCACTCAATTAAGAGCGAAGCATTTACTTATTCAATAAACACAGAATATGCTTAGAAAACCAAACTTGTCAGATATAAGACAAATCCAAAGAAACAAACCACCTACACAAGGACAGGTAGCTATCTTTTATACCTTAAAGCCTTTATCCAACAAGTTATTTGTGTGTGTAAAGATGTGCAAAAAGTTCAGAACCATATGAATTAAAAGGAGAAAACTCATAATTCTAAATGGTTTCTGGGTAAGTCATTCTGCAAAAGGCTTATTTACTTGGCCTGACATGACAGGGCTGGAATCAATTCAGTGAGATAGTTTCCATGATCTACTAATAGTGAGGAAACTGATGTTAGGTTGGTCATGTTAATGAGAGAAAGGTAGTTGGTTCTACTATTTTGGATCATATCTCAAGTAAAACCATGTCTCTCTAATTTGTTAAAACAAAACCTCTGCTCTTATTTCTAAAAAGATCCTCTGTTTGAATTTAGTTGAGACTAAATTTCTGTCTTTTAAAATTATCTGATACAGAATTACAATGAAGGCACATTCTAATCTCCACAGAAATAAAGAACTAGTTATATTTAACAAGGAGGCTTCAAAGTTAGTGGAAAATTCTATTGACCTTCAGATTCCATATTTCTGTGAATTTTCTGAAGCCCTTTCATATAATTTATACATGATTACTACTTTAAAATGAAAATGAGTTTTCACAAGAACCTGGTATGGTGCTGTAGGATAAACACTGCACTGCTAACCATAAGGATGGAAGTTCAAACCTACAATTCACTCCTCAGAAACCCTACACAGGGTCACTGAGTCAGAATTTGACTTGATGGCACTTAACTACCTCTCCCTTAAAAAGTCAGTTATTAAGAGAATCGGATATTAGAAAAATTTATTTGGGGGCTTTAACACTGTCTCATAAAAAAGAATTTACATTGAACTCATCATAAAAGAATTTCAATGCTAATGAGATTAATATTGAATCTATTCAACATGTGATAAACTTCATTCTTAAATATATCCATAAGTAAAGGGAAAATGGCTTGTGGGAAATTATTTAGACTATGTAGCAGGGTACTATACAGTAGGGTCACCCTGAAGGACAGGTTTCAGTAGAAATTCTAAACTAACAGACTAGAAAAAAGTCCTGGTGATCTATTTTAGAAAATTAGCCAATGAAACCCTTATGGGCCACAACAGAACATGTCCCAAAGGCTCGCTTTCGACACGTCACATCAGGGATTGTGAAAATGCGGTAGCACTAAGCAATATTTCATTCAGTTGTACATAGGACTGACTCATGGTAGACTGTCTGTACAGTTTTGCAATGAGTAAAATATTACCTCTTAAAAGTAAATGTTCCTTGGATTAATTGCAGATAAAAATGCACTATTACTATTAAGGAACTATGATGCCAATGGACAGCTGACTGTTCACACACACCTTATAAAACACTGCCAGCAACATTTTAATGTTATCATTTTTCTGTTGCACAATCAAATGTTATTTTCCTGGTGAGGCTGGAAAATATGAAATCCATTGATTTCATATTTTCTGTGTGTGAAAAAATTAGAATACTGCCATAAAACCAAATAGGTTATACTACCTTGTTCCAGATACTCGTTTATAGTTGTCCTTGGAATGTACTGCTAAAATACTGACTCCTGAACCAATGTTCACTACCAGTAATGGGTAAGGATCATCCAAGTTAAAAGGCATCTTTTGGCATCGCTCAGGTTCTGAGGCATTAGCAAAATAATAGCACTCTGCTTGTCCATTGAAACTGACAGAATCTATATACAGCAAGCCCTTTACAAGGCAGTCAAGTTCATCCAGTTTGTGAAGGTGAAGGTTTCCAATCTGGGGGTGGGAGGAGGAAAAAAAAAAAAAAAAAAGAATCAAACAACTTTTCAATCATGCTTTATTTTATGCCTTTTGGTGTGACCATACCACAGAATCTTATTGACAAATTAAGTACATGTTTCCCCTCCTATCTGAAAGTACAGCATTTCTATAAAACCTTCGTCAGCTGAAATGGTGCATAAAGCACAGGATTAATTACAGTCAATTTATACGGGAAGAATTTTCAGTGCTCCCAGATCCTAAAAGAACCTACCAAACCATACTGAAGGATACATAAAGCCTAAATTAACACCAACATAGCAAAAGCAGGAGCAATGTGAAAATACACAACCTACATAAAGTAGAAATTAACATATGTACAGTATAATCCCTGGTGATACCACTCCTGCTGCTTGGGGTGTGTGCTGCAAAAAGCAAATCCAAACAGTAGCATTGCTTTTTGCCTTTTTGGGGTAAAAAATGAACCTTAGAAAAGCAGGGACCTGCATCTTATTTACTGCCTTACATTTTAGTTTGGATAGCAGCTTGAAATATTAAATTCACTTCAGGCTATAGCACTGAATGCATTATTAAGTTTCAATTATCTAAATGTGATAGGTATCATTTTTAAGGACAATTCTTTTCTTAACCAATACCACTAATTATAATGCACTGTACTTACTGACTTGTCTGTAACGCTTTCGGGGCTAAGTCTGTGTCTTATTCTGAGCTGTGTTCTTCCAGTGTTTAGTGAAGTACCTGACACATTGCATTGCATGCTCAAATATTTGCTAAACAAATGATTGAACAACAAAAACAAGTACTTATACATGCATAACTTCATCATTAGAAAACATTACTATTCAACATTTAGAGTTCTATATCTGGGTTCCAGTATCTCAATGGCCAGGGACACTGGTTATAGCAAGGATTTTGACAAACACTAAATATCACATATACAAATAATCCATTGGCATCGAGGTGGTTCTGACCCTTATAGAGCAGAGTAGAACTGCCCCATAGGGTAAAATATAAGTCTTTAAAGAAGGATAGTGGGTTCAAACTGCTGACTTTTGGCTTAGCAGTCAAGTGCTTAGTTACTGCACCACTATGGCTTCCTTTATGCCCAAACTACTCCCAAATTCATAAAGGTATTTTCATTCAGGTATCTGCTGATGCAAGACAGTGGCTTCAGTTGGGGTTTAAGAAAGAGTGGGCCCAGGGAGTTCACTATTTTGGTTAAAACTCAACATGCAAACAGAACAGTGAAAATAATTTTAGTTTTAACTAACAGATACCTACTGTGCGAAAATCTTTTTCAAACTTGTAAGCACCACCTCCAGTAGCACATAGCACCGTGTGTAATGTTGAGAAGTTTTTATTTCTTCCCATTTGTATAAAAGTAGGCAGGTCCTGGGTTGGAAATCTGATAAAGTGCAAGTTCCCTCTTCGCCCAAAAAGTGTTAAGTCCTTTAGTTCCAAGTGCACATCTCGAATGCCAGTGGACCCATATGCTACATTAGAAGTCAGGTATTTCCGGATACTTTTTAAACTCTCAACTTCTTCTTGTTCTTCCTCTGCTGTGATATCAATTGGTTCAAAATATGAGAGCTTTACCAGAGTTCCTCCAATATCCATGCCAAACCATGGGAAAGCTGTGGGTACATTAAAAAAAAAAAAAAAAAAAAAAAAAAATCAGTTCTGGAAATGCAAACTAGAAACTAGTTCAATTAGCCACATACTTTCACCCTGAATCATTCATTTAGTAAGCTTATGGGGTAGCTTCCAATTACCACTCACCTTTTTTCCTTCAACATGTTATTCATATAGTTTTTTTTTTTTTTTTACAAACTGTTAACAGAAGATGTTTAGAGCTGGCAGAGTCTTTTAATTGCTGAACTGCTAGTCATTCTCCATTTATTAAATACTTATGTAGCCAAGAGGATAGAATTTGGAACAATTTGCTTTAATAAGTAGGTCACCATCTAGCATTTAAACATGTTTCTATAAATGACCTATTATCACCTCAAGTAACCCAAGGGAATACAGCCTTAAAACTGTATTTTGTGCCCATTAAGCGTTAGGTTTCAGGAGAAAGATGAGGCTTTCTGCTCCCGTAAAGATTTACAGCCTCGGAAACCCTGTACAGGGTGGCTATGAGTCGGAACCAACGTCACAGCACATAACAACAAGCATTAGGTTTCTTTAGTATATCTGATTAATTACAATTAGATGCTAATAATCTTGCAGGTCTACTCAGGGAGAAGCACATTCCAGCTGGCAGAGCTGTGTGGTGGAATGACTAGGCTAGCACTTGGTATTCTCACTATCTAGCCTGTAATCACTGGAATATGCGTTGGCATTTCTGAATCTTTACCTCAATTCCCTTCAGTAAACAATTACTGACAGCTCTGCCACACGGACTAGGACTCTACAGAGCCTAATCTTTGTTGAATGTTTTTGAGTGGAGCCCATATATGCAGAGAACTGATTCATAGGGGTTTTTAAGGTTGTGCATTCTGGAAAGCAAAGTGCCCATGTTTGTCTTCCAAGGCATCTCTGGGTGGTTTCAAACCACTACACTTTCAGTTAGCGCTTAACTGATTATGCCACTTTGGGACCTGTAGGGGTATATAAATACTCTATGAATGCATAGAATTAATAGGTGAAATACAAGTATACACAAAAGTATGGAACAGTAGAGAAATGTTAAACGTTGTGCCTGTGTTGTTGGTAGCAACTTACTCACAGCTACCCTACGCAGCACAACAGAACGAAGCACTTGACGGTCCTGCTGCCACTAGTCAATCCATCTTACTGGTTGGGTGTCTTCTTTTTCTGACCCTCCACTTTTCAGAGCATGATGCTACTTTCCAGGGCTGGTCATTCTGACAATATGTCCAAAGTACAAGGGAAAAAATATAACCAATCTCCTTCATGGTACTTTCAATATTCTTCACCAACACCAACTGGATTATGGTATAGGTGTACCTGTGTTAAAGTGTATGGAATTAAAGCAAAACAAAACAAAAAACGACCAGCATATCAAAGGCAGAGTCACAAGTATGTGTGGAACTAGATATGAAAAGGATTGCGATTGAAATTGTTATGTGTTGAACCACACAGGGACTTACTTGCACACGACTCTAAGAAGCATTTATTTGCCTATTAGCTAACGCTGTTGGCGTTAAATGCCAGAGTGGACAACTTTGAGAGACATGGGGAATCATTTTTTAATCACGTGATTTCATCTATAACTAGATCTAGATGACATCTGAGAATCACTGCCTTAGGTAACGAAGATTCCTTCTTGCTATGATATAAAGTCTAGAGTGTTATATCCTTATTGATTATTAGCTTTAATCCTAAGGATCCCAATGCTATTGCATCAGTTCTGACAGTTAAACTGCAAATTGGTATGACAGCAAACTGCCTCATCTTTCTCCTGTATAGCAGGTGGACAGTTCAAATTGCTGACCTTTCAGTTATCAAACCTTACAAATGCTTAACCAAGTCCTCAAGACTTGGATATTGTTGCTGTTAAGTGCCATCGAGTCTGTTCCGACTCATAGTGACCCAGTATAGGGTTTCCAAGGAGTGACTGGTTGAGTTTGAACCACTGACCTTGCAGTTCAAACTGACCATGAGATTGAGTGATCATCCCATGGCACCATTTACTTTTGTTTGTAAGATTTGTACAGTACAATTTGTACTGCATTGTACTATGTGCTAACTAACATTTACTATGTGCTGTTGGTTCAGATTCATAATGACCCTATATAATAGGATTTCCAAGAGTGTCTGGTGGGTTTGAACTGTAGATCTTGTGATTAGCAGTCCATTGCTTACCTTATAGCACTACACCAGAGCTCAACATTCACTAGTGCTCCTTATTTGTGAGGCAATATACTAAACAATGAATATTTTATTATCTCATTTAATCCCAAATGTCCCTCTGAAGCAATGTTGTCTTACTATATGTAGTACTTTACACACAGGGAAAGGATAGTTGATTAAAGATTAAACTGTCAATGTGAGAGTCAGAATTCTATCCTAGAATTCTATTACCATCATCTTGGTAGTTAATTATTGTGAGTGACCCAAAAATTTAACATGTAAGGTATCTTTTGTTCACCTAGCACACAAATTACAAAATCTGTGTTAACAATATAAAGGAGCTTCAAAAAGTTTATAAAAAATTCAATTATCTTTTAATTCCATTTTCCCACAAGTTTAAATCCCTCTTGTAGTTAAATTTTAATGCAAAAATTGTGAAAGGAAGAGAATTCTACTTCCTTTTAAATTCATACTTTGCTAGTAAGGCCCTTCCAACAGAGAAAGCCAGCACCTTGAATTCAGACTTCAAGCCTCTTAAACACAGACAGTAAATTTGTTTGCTATGGTTACACATACAATCATTTTACTTACTTGATTGTGTACCAATGGAAAATGGGGAATACATAACTCAATAAGAAAGGATTTACAGCCTTGGAAACCCTGTTCAGAGTTGCTAAGGGTCGGAACCGACTTGATGGCATATTACACGCTGCCAAACCACTGGGAATCATGATCCAGCCAAGTTGACATCATAATTAGGTGTTGCCTATGATCCTAGTGGGTATTTTACTGTTATTGTCAATATCCCTGCAAAATACGTAGCAATCCGGAAACCAAATATACTGCACTGGACAAATCTATCATAAAAAATCTCTTCAAAATGTTAAAACCCAAAGATGTCATGTTCAGGACTAATCCAAGCCATTGCCTCAAAATCAGACAAAAAGCGGGACAATCAGGAAGACTCAAGAACTGATGCTTTTGAATTATGGTTTTGGAGAAGGATGTTAAGTCTACCATGGATTGCCTGAACAAATCTGTGTTAGAAGATGTACAGCCAGAATGTGCCTTAAAGTGATGACGTCGATTTTATCTCCCATACTTTAAGCATGTCATCAGGAGGGACCAATCCCTAAAGAAAAGGACATCATGCTTGGAAAAGCAGGTTAATGAAAAAGAGAAAGACCCTTAAGGAGATGGACTGACTTAGTGGCTGCAACAACAGACTCAAAAGTAGCCACAATTAGGAGAATGACATCTGACTAGGCAGTGTGTCCTTCTGTTGTTAAGAATAGACTTAACAGCACTTTACAACAACAGCTTTATGATTGCTGTAAATGTGAAATGCTAGATAACAAAATTGGTGATAAGAGGAGTATGCTTATTTAAGGAACACAGGTTCATAGTTCATGCTATTGCTATTTAATGTGTATGAAATCTTTTTTTAATGTCTGGAATACTTGAAAGTTTATAATTAAAGTGATGTAGAAAATCATATAAAACCTGCAATTTCTGCTTCTTTAAAAGGCTTCTGAGGCATGCTGATTTATTTGTATGAAACAATCAACTAGGTCTATTTATCTCAAAAAGAAACATTCACACAAAAGAAAATTCCTAAACAAATCAAGATTATTTTCGCTATACTTATATATAGCTATATAAACAAGAGTCCTGGTGTGGTGCTGTGGGTTAATGCTCCAGACTGAAAAGCCGTTTGAACTGCAAGGCTGGTGGCACTAACAACAACAACAATATATAAACAAAGGAGTCCTGGAGTGGCACTGTGGGTTAATGCCACAGGTTGCAAAGCCATTTGAATTTAAAGGCTGGTGGTTCAAGCTCACCAACCACTCCCTGGAAACCCTATACAGGGTCGCTATGGGTTGGAATCGACTTGACTGCACTTAACAGCAATGAATTGGAACCTACTTGATGTCGCTGAGTTTGAGTATGCATTTTATAAATACTAACTTGATTCTCTTTTACTATTTAGTCTACTAAATATTATGGTTTTGTTTATAGCAATCCTGTATAGGGTTTCCAAGAAGCAGATGGTGAGCTGAACCATTGACCTTGCATTCTGACTCATTAGCCAACAGTGCCGTACCATGACTCCTACTCATATCAGACCCTATATATAGTTTCCGAGGCTGTCAATTTTTATTGGAGCTAAAAGTCTTCTTCCTCAGAGGGGCTGGTGGGTTTGAACTGCCGATCTTATGGTTAGCAGTCCAATGCTTATCTTACAGTGCTGTACGTGTAAGTCATAAATAATAACAACCACCAACAACCATGCACTTTTTAAGAAAGCCGATGTTGTTCACATGGATGCTTACAAAATTTTCTCAAAGAAAATTAGGTTCTGACTCAGAGCGCCATGTATAAGGTTACCTAGGAAACCTAGCTGGGGGGTTTGAACAGCCGGCCTTGTGGTTAGCAAGAAGTCCACTGCTTATTCTATAGCACCATACCAGAACTCCATCTGCAAACTAGAAAATATATATTTCCAGCAGGAGCCCTGATGGCACAGCAAAAGCAATGGAAAAGTCTCAAATCCACCAGTCACTCCTTGGGACAGAGGATAGCCTTGGAAATCCTATCCTACAGGGCATTGGAATTGACACAATGGCAATGGGTTTGAGCTTTCTATTTCTCTCAGGTATCAGTTATGACAATCGACTTATCAAAATCATGACGGTTTGTAGGGACAGAGAGAGCTCAATTCCTGCTAGTGACTCCAAAAAAAAAAAAAAAAAAAAAAAAAAAGGGGTGGGGGGTGTTTGAAAACATAGCCACCTTCTGAATAGACACTTTTTTCACCTCAGCAGTTCGGGAGCTTATTTCCTTATTCCAGAGATATAATTACCACTCCAAAAATATCTGGGCGGCCACAAGAACAAAAAATAGAATTCTTCATTATAAAACCTACTTTTACCAATTAGCATATGGTAAAATGTTACTAATGCTTACATTTTACATTGTATTTAAATACATATTTGTTGTAGCTGTTAGGTGCCAATGAGTCGGTACCGACCCATAGTGACCTTGTGCACAGAAGAACGAAACACTGCCCGATCATGCGCCAACAACACTACTGCTGCCACTTTGCCAATCCATCTCGTTGGGGGTCTTCCTTTTTCTCTGACTCTCCACCTTACCAAACATGTTATCCTTCTCTAGCAACTGGTCCCTCCTGACAATATGTCCAAATATATATACTGTGGTGGTGGTTAAGTACCGTGGAGTCGATTCCAACCCATAGCAACCCTGCACAGGGTTTCTGAAGCTGTAACTCTTTACGGGAGCAGAAAGCCTCAGCTTTCTCCTGCGGAACAGCTGGTAGTTTCTAACTGCTGACCTTGCGGTTTGCAGCCGGATTTGTAACTACTACGCTACCAGAGGTCCTTTGAATATATATATATACCTGTTATTCTGTTACTTAAAGAGGGCAAGCTAGAACATGTGAGAACACATGAAAGTCACACCAGGCAAACAAGTTACATGCACAAAATAAACATTACTCATGAGCACTAAAGTAAGAGGTCAATGTAAGAACAGTTAAGTCCAACCAGACATTCATCTAAAAGTTCCATGCAGTTAATACTAAAATCTCAGAAATGGATAATCTACTGAAAGGCAAAGGAGTAGATGTGAAGCAACGGAAGCCCAAATTAGTGAGCTTGAAGAGAAATCTCTCAATACTAGTAGAACAGAAAGCAATAAATACAGAGAAAATTATTGAAAGAAAACTTTCCTAATGTCAGGAAAGATGAGAAGATAAGCATACAAGAAACTGAACGAACCCCAAACATGATAGATTCCCAAAAGAAAATCACCAAGACAAACTTTCCAAAACTAATGGCAAGGAAAGAATCCCGAGAGATGTTCAGAAAAAATGAAGTTACCTTGTAAAGGAGAACCAGTAAGATTAAGCCCTGATTTCTTATCAGAAACCATACAGGCAAGAAGGCAAAGGGATGACATATATAAAAAACTGAAAGAAAGATTGCCAAACAAGAATCATACACCCATCAAGGCAGTCCATCAAATACAAGGACAAAATCTGTAATAACCAGACCAATTAAAAAAAAAAAAAAAAAGTGAACGGTGTTCTTCGGATTAAAAGAAGCAGACAGAAACCTGAGATTACAATACATAACAACACCCAGAAATCGATCCAGATTTATTTTTGTTAAAATTGCCATTGAACCGGTTCTGACTCATAGCGACACTGTACAGGGTTTCCAAGGAGCAGTTGGTTGGTCTGAACTGCCCATCTTGTGATTCACGGTCCAGTGCCTATCCTATACAATGCACCACATAAGTATTTAAAGTAAAACTAACTTACAAGACTGAAAATAGGAAACCAGAGATAAATTTTTCATGAAGTCAACTACAAAGCAAAAAAAGGGAATGGTGTAGATCCAGAATTTCCAAATGGCAAGGAAGTCAAGTAGATTTCAAAATAAAACAGATGGTTTTAAACGGAGGGGGGGGGGGGGGGATTAGTAAATCACAGGGTAACCTTAAAGAAAAATACACTTGCACATCAACATAAAAAAGGAAAATCAGAAAGACTTAGCAAATATTAACATAACAAACAAAATGAACTCAACATAGAAAATTAAGTGGAACAAAGAATCTAGCAGCACCACAAAAACACAGAATTCCTAACTATTGACAATTACACTGAATGCAGAGACATAAAGAGCAGGATGAGAAAACTGATGCTTCAGTATGCAGTCTCTAAGACACATTAAAATGATGGAGACTGCTTAAAATGCCCATCAACAGAAGAATGGTTAAACTTTGGTACATACACAAAACGGACTATAACAAAACATTGAAGAAAAATGATTAATCTGTGAAACACCTCCCAACATAGTTGAACCTGGAGGACATCATGCTGAGTGAAATTAGTCAATCACAAAAGGAAGACATTGTATGAGATAAATATTGCAAAAAGTTAGAAGGTTTCTTGATAAAAAGGTATCTGATATGGTTATGGGGAGAGGGTTACTTTTTCATGGGCTTGAGGGTAAACACATGCTGACATGGGTGACAGGGCAGGCAATGTACAAGAAGGAGGTTAGCAGAGGAAAAAGAGGAAGGTAGTAGGAGACACAGGGAGGGATGTACTAGTTAAAGTGAATAGAGGTGAATGCTGTTAACTGTTGATACTTGGAGGGGATTGCAACTATGTAGTAAGCCAAAGTGTATGTACAGCTTGTTGAACGTAAAATTGTTGATGTGCTCTGTAAACCTTCAATGAATTCACACACACAAAAAAAAAACTTAAAAAAAAATAAACAAACATCAAGTACCTTGATGACTCTTTCACGATCCGTTTTAACTAGCTATCATGAAAATTGCCCCTATTCCATTTCTCACCTGGTGTTATGAGAGCCACCATTAGCTCCCCACATGCAACAAAAAAATACCTCAAACCACCACAAGAATAGCACTACCAAGAACCACCTTCCTTGCCAGGTAGATAATGTATGCAAAAGAGAAAACCTACATGTTCAACCATCTTTTAAAATGATTAAACAGAAAGTATCTAGTCAAAAGGGCAGACTGTTCTAACAAGTTGTGTTAAAGAGTCCATACCTGGCCAAATTGCTGGTGAAGGAGAAGTCTTAAAGAGCTATTTAAATGCTATTGCCACACAAAGGGATTCAATGCCATGGTAAGCTTTAATTGTCCTTTAATATACATAGCCATAAAATGCTGAAAATATTCAAAACATACAGAAAATTATTTAAAGGAATAATACTCTTAAATGGGTATTATGTATCGGTAGACTCCAGATACGCTTCAAGTGCTTAGACAAAAGACACCTCACTTTCCAATAATCATTACAGATAAAAATGATGTCTAGAAATAGTATTATACTTAGAATGACACTGAGGTGTCCTGGTGTGGTGCTATAGGTTAAGCACTGGACTGCTAGGTCGGTTTGTGCGTACAGGCCTAGCTGGTTCCTTCCCTTAGGTTTGAACTGCAAGGTTGATGGTTCAAATCCAGCTACTCCTTGGAAAAACTATATAAAGGGTTGCTATGAGTTGGAACAACTCAACAGCACTTAAGCTCATTTGGCTAAATGTACATTTTAAGAGATGAAAAACACATGCATTGAGGAAAAATTCTACACTGTCATCCCTCTTCAGAATACAAAGTTAAGACAGCAAATTGAAATCAGAAGTTTCTGAAATGTTGCCATATTGTCATTAAGTACATCATTAACTCATTTTATAGTTTCTTTGAACTAGAGCTTTACAGCCACAAGATATCATCCTAAAAATATTTTTAAAATTAAACTAGCAGATAAAACTAGCTGATGGATCAGAAAGTTTTGTTTCTCAAAGTATTTTGATTATAGCTGGTGAAAAGACCAGGGACTGTGAGTCAGGTGACCCAGGGCTCTGTATAGCAGAGTGGAGTGTTTAAGCTTTGGCAAAGTTACTATAGATCTCTTCAATAAACTGAGTTTCCTCAACTATAAAACGAAAAGCAAATGATCTCACATTTGAATAACAATGTACAATATTCAGAGTGTGCATTACAAGAACCATGATAGATGATAGCACTGCCATTTCCAGCTTTACATTTCTTAGAACTGTTGGAGAGCTCACATGAGACACTGCACATGAAAAGACTATAAAACCTGCAAAACAACAATACAACTGCAAGATATGAGCATGAATCTCCAAATTCCTCGTTGTTCTGGGAGAGACTGAAATATGAAAATCACAATGGCTTGAGTGAATCAAATAAACTATTTGCAGGAAATAAAAGGTTTCTCTAAAGGCTGACAATAAAAATGAAAATGCACCTTTTTTCCCCCAAAAACATGTTAATAATGTTTTGTTTTTAAAAAAGGTCAAAGAAAATTATCTTTGGGTATTAACCATAATATTGACAGTGATTGGCTTAAGGGGACTGGAACACCGGCGATTTTGATCTTTTTTTGTGTTTATCTGCGTTTTCTAAACATTTTGTTAATCAAAATTAAAAATAAGGCAAAGCAATTATCAGTAACAAGCACGTGCGTTAAAAAACTCCCAATTTAACAGTGACAACTCCCAGGAATGAATCCACGGGGATTTCAAGGACACCACAAGAAAGCCAGGAAAAACCGGTGTAATTGCCCCCCGCGCAAAGTGACAGCCACGACCAACCCTTTTTGACTACACAACTCTGGGGGCAAGGTTAGCAGCTCTAGTCTTGTTTGGCAAATCCTGGGTCTAAATTTTCCTCTTGCACCTCCCAGACACCGAAAACGAAGTCGGAGAGCCTTGGGCGGCAGGCATCCATCATGCATGTATGGGGGATGGGGAGGACGCCTGGAACCCGGGGCTGAAATGGTGCCTCTGCCCCCATTCCGTGCTAGGCGAGGACAAGGACCCAGGAGTTTGTGCCCGTTCGCTCCGCCTAAACGCTCCCAAACGGGATTTAGGGGGTGCTCTCCCAGCCCGGCAAACCCAAGCCTCCATCTTACAAGGTTTCTTGGCATCTTTGATCTTCATGGTGTCCGGCGGAGAGGCGAGGCTCAGCTTCGGGTACTGTGAGCGGCAGGCAGTAGCGGCGGCTCCGGAGGTGGCAGGGCCGCGTGTACAGGCCCGGCTGGTTCGTTCCCTCAGGTCAGGAGGGGCCTGCCGGGGAGGGGGCGGCGACGCCCGACCCGGGGTACAGCCTCTCGCCCCAGCGAGTGGCGACCGGGACCAAGCGAGCTGGGGAAGGCCGCCGGTCTATTCGCTCCGGGGCCCCCCCGCAGCTGCTCCAAACAAAAGGCCCCGGCGCCCGGAGCCACCGCCGCCGCCGCCGCCGCCCTGAGAAGTAGTCCGCCCAGGCCGAGAGCCCACGTGACCAGAGCACCCCCTTGCTCAGATCACGGACGACTAATGGGGATTGTAGTTCTCCGAGTTGTGAGCGCCCGTTCTCAGACTGCAGCTGTATATAAGGACTCCAATACCCAGGATGCATTGCGGTTCCTCGCTAGCGGCTCCTCGCTAGCGGCCCCTCCGTTTCCTGAGATCGCCTCAGAGTGGTCCCAGAGAGAAGTAGGCGGGGCCTTAATCACGCCAGCGAGACGGCGACCAGTGGGGCTGAGGTGGGCGGGCTGGGGAAGTCAAGAGCTTAGACCTCTCCAGCGGGCCTGAAGAGAAGGGGTAGGGAACTATTTGCAGGTTCTGTGGTGGCTGTTCTGTCAGTCACAGACTGCCTGAGGCAGAAAAGCTGCCTATTTCCTTTGTAGGAAAGCGCTACAGTTAGGGCTCTAGAGCCGTCCTTTTGCATAGACATTTAAGTACATTGTGAATTAAAAGACAATCGCAAAAGAACCCCTTACCTTAATAGAGATGACCGAACTGTTAGGGTTAGCATGCTGCTGAACATAACAAGAATGATAAGGATAGAAATGATGGTGATTATGTACCGTGCGGTCGGTTCCGACCCACAGCGACCCTCCGAGGAGCGGCTGGTGGCTTTGAACCACCGACCTCGCAGCGCCACACCAGAACTAGGTAATGTTGAATGCCATGTGGCAAGAACTCTGCTAAGCACTTTTCGTAAGTTGTTTGATTCTCCAACTCTGAGAGCCCTGTAGAAATAATGTTCACTTTATTATAACTTACTTTGAAGATGGAGCATGTGTAAGAGGTGGTACTGGGAAGTGTGCGAACAGAGCTGCCTGAAAGCTAAACCTTAAATCCATTCTAGGCTTAAGTCTTGACATGAGTCTAGAATCCATGTTGAATTCTCCCCCACCCACCCCAGGTTGAATTCTTTGTTGTTAAATGCCGCCAAGTTGGCCGAGTCATAAACCCTGTATAGGGTTTCCGATGAGGAGCAGCTGTTGAGTTTGAACCTGCAACCTTGCAGTTCAAAACTACCTTCAGGCTGAGTGCTTACCCTACGCTGCCACAGCAGGACTAATTCTTAGCATTCGCTTTCCTGATGGCAGTTTCTCTGTCCTTGATGGGAACCTACCCATACCCTAAAGGCGACAGTCCTCTGCCCCAGGCCTGACAAGGACAGGATATCACAGTCTATTTCCAGATGGTCTTTTCCTTGTGCTCAAATAGATACAAGGTGTGATAACTTATACCCTGGGGTCTTGGTATAAGCTATCACACCTTGAAATCTTTATGTTGTTGTTGTTAAGTGCCTGGAGTTCATTCTAATACTCAGCCAGTTTGTATAGGGTTTCTCAGGAGCCTGGTGGGTCTGAATCAGCTACCTTTCAGTGCTGACTCATGGAGATCCTGAATAGGGTTTCCCAGGAGTGGCTGGACCTTGCATCCCAGTGCATTAATCCGCAGTACCATACTAAGACTCCACCTTGCCGTTAGCAGTCTACCAACACTAAAGTACCACACGAGAACTCCAGAATTCTTTATGATGTTGCTGCTGTTGTTCAGTGTTGTTCAGTGCTGTCGAGTCAGTTCCAACTCATAGCAACCCTGTATAGAGTTTCCAAGGAATGTGTGTTAAATTTGAATCGCTAATCTTGTGGTTCAAACCAACCTTATGGTCCAGATCTTATTTTACAGTGCCACACCATCCTGGTGTCCAAAGAGCACTCTGGCTGCACTTCTTCCAACACAGATCTATTGGTTCTTTTGGCAGCTCATGGCACTTTCAACTTTGTCCTCCAACACCATAACTCAAAAGCATCAATTCTTCTACAGTCTTCACATGTATATGAGGTTATTGAAAATACCATGGCTTGGGTCAGGGGCACCTTAGTCCTCAAGCTGACATCTTTGCTCTTCAATACTTTAAAAAGTTCTTGTGCAGCAGATTTGCCTAATGCAATACGTCATCTGATCTCTTGACTGCTGCTTCCATGAGTGTTGATAGTTAATCTGAGAAGAATGAAGTCCTTGACAATGTCAATCTTTTCTCCTTTGATAAGAATGTTGTTTATTGATCCCAGTGGTGAGGATTTTTGTTTTCTTGACATTGAGATGTAATCCATACCAAAGGCTGTGCTCTTTGATCTTCATCAGTAAATGTTTTAAGTCCTCTTCACTTTCAGCAAGCAAGGTTGTGTCATCTGCATATCACAGGTTGTTAAAGAATCTTCCTCCAATCTTGATGCTATGTTCTTCTTCTTATAACCCAGCTTCTCGAATTATTTGCTCAGCATAAAGGAGCTCTGGTAGCGTAGTGGTTACGAATCGGGCTGCGAATCTTAAGGTCAGTGGTTCGAAACTACCAGCTGCTCCGCGGGAGAAAGATGAGGCTTTCTACTCCCGTAAAGATTTACAGCCTCGGAAACCCTATACAGGGTCGCTATGGGTCGGAACCGACTCGATGGCACATAACAACAACAACAACAGGTTGAATAAGCATGGTGAAAGAATGCAACCCTGTCGCACACCTTTCTTAATTTTAAACCATTCAGTGTTCCCATGTTCTGTTCGAACAACTGCTTCTTGATTCATGTACAGGCTCCTCATGAACACAATTAAGTATTCTGGAATCCTCATTCTTTACAATATTGTCCATAGTTTGTCATGATCCACACAATCGAAGGTCTTTGCATAGTTAATAAAGCACAGGCAAGCATCTTTCTGGTAAAACAGATTAAAGTTGTTAAAGACTTCATTTTTCTTGGATCAACCATCAACATTCATGAAAGCAGCAGTCAAGAAATCAAATGATGTATTACATTAGGCAAATCTGCTGCACAAGACCCCTTTAAAGAGTTCAAGAGCAAAGATGTCAGTGTGAGGACTAAGGTGCTCCTGACCCAACACATGATATCTTCAATAACCTCTCATGCATGTGAAAGTTGGACAGTGAATAAGGAAGAGCATAGAAGAATTGATGCATTTGAGTTATGATGTTGGAGGAGAATATTGAAAGTGCCATGGGCTGCCATAAGAACAAACAAATCTGTATTGGCAGAAGTACAGCCAGAATACTCCTAAGAAGCTAGGATGGCTAGACTTCATCTCTCATACTTTGGACATATTGTCTGAAGGGACCAGTCCCTGGACAAGGACATCATGCTTCATAAAGTAGAGGGTCAGTGAAAAAGAGGGCGACCTCAATGAGATGGACTGGCACAGTGGCACAGCAATAGGCTCAGCTGTAGCAACAATTGTGAGGTTAGCACAGGATCAGGTGATGTTTTGTTCTGTTGTACATAAGGTCGCTATGAGTCGGTGCTGACTGGATGGCTGAAAAACCTGCCCTGCTACTGTCCAGTGAACTAAACTGAAGGCCATGTACCTTTAATCAGCTATGTAACCCCATTTATGTGTTATCCACCTATCCCTGTCTAATCCATGCTTATAGAAAGCCTACCGTTTTTTCTCCTGATTGTCTTTTAGTCAATTATGATTTAATTTTGTAACTTTTAGTTCCATTTCTGATTGTACAAAAATGTGTTTTTCTCATTGTCAGGCACAGTGGCCATTTTTACTCTGTGAATTTGAATGTTTTTTTGATCTAGGCCATCTCTAACCCTGTGGGTTAGACACTGAGCCGCTAATTGCAAAGCTGGAGATTCAAACCCACCAAACACTCCTCCCGAGAAAGATGAGGTTGTCTGCTCCCACAAAGATTTACAGTCTCAGAAACCCTATATGGGGTCATTAGGCATCGGAATCAACTCAGCGGCAGTGGGTTTGGTTTGGTTTTGATACTTTTACTTTAAGCAGACTCCTTGATGTTTCTCTAGGACACACGGAACCTGAGAGGTTAAATCACCTGATAAGCACAAGTTCCTTCTTGCTGTTTCATGTTGTTCTCTGGGGCCTTTTTGCCCAGTTCCCCCCTCTCTTGCTGCCTTTGTTCCAAAGGGGAAACTGACTTTTCCAAAAGGGAGAAGAGAGTGAGATGGTCCAATTCTCAGAGATAAGCCTGGACACTCATTCTGAAAAGCCTCTTAGCCTTATGTAGAATGGGAAGGGATGATGTTGGACATCTCCTGCCCTCCCCTTGGCTCCTCTCTCCCCAGCTAGGTGGTCAGCAATTCAGTGACTGGTAAAGAATGATTTGAAAGCTAGCAGTAACCAACAGTTTGCATTGGATAAAAAAGCCTCTTTAGAAATCCTCATTTCTTTCCTTTTCTTTGTGGAAGATAAGGCTAGGGATGTGAAGACGAACAGGAAAGGGTACAAACTACGATTATGGAGTACTTACTATGAGCTGTAAGTTACTTTACTTTTTAATAAAAAATTCAATACTCTTAGTGACCCTTTGGAATATTATTAAGAACTCAAACTTAAATTCAAATCTTGGTCCCATAACTTGGTAATAAACTTGAACAAATGACTTCTCTCTGAACCTTGTTGGAAATAAGCACTTGACCACAAGGTCAGTTTAATCCACAAGGTCGGTGGTTCAAACTCACCAGCAGCTCCTAGGAAACCCTATGCAGAGTCGCTATGAGTCAAAACCGACTCGATGGCACTTAACAACAGTCTTAAGTGTAGCACCATAGGATAAGCACTGGACCACAAGGTCAGTTTGAACTGCAGGGTCAGTAGTTCAAGCTTGCCAGCTGCTCCTCAGAATCCCTTAACAGGGTCTCTGTGAGTCCGACCTGACTTGGAGGCACTTAACAACAACAACAACAACGCATTTCATAGAGGGAGGCTGGTGGCTAATACAATAAGCACTGGACTACAAACTACAAGTATCACAGTTCAAACCCACCAGTTGCTTCATGGGAAAAAGAGGAGGCTTTCTGCCCCCGGCAAAGACTTAAAGCCTCAGAAACCCTATACAGGGTCACTATGAGTCAGAACTTATTCAACACCACTTAACAACAACATTTCATAGATGGATATGGGAATTAAATGAAAGAGAGTGTTCTCAAA